ATTCGTAGGCTACTTGCCACGGAGAGTTTAGTTGTAATTTTACAATTCAATGGATTTCACACAAATTTTCAGATCACGGTAGTAATGGGATAAAGCGGAAACCCATGAATTTAATCAGAAAATAGTTATTGTCCTACACTGATATTTTGTTGTTGAGGTGGCTTTACTGTACCCGTCACATTTTTAAGAAAAGCCAGCATGGTACAATTAATGGCCTTTTAGGATTTTGAGCATTGATATTGGTGAACACGTACATCGTTGTTACCATGTCCATGCTCGAGAGAATTGAGTAATTTAGCGAATGTCATCCAAGTTTTTAGTCAGTCAGTTTGAAACTAAAGATCACCCTGGTTGAATTTGAGAAATTTTGCAAATTCATGTCCAGGCTTGTTGCCCCGACTCTGTATGATTGTTGATAAAGATACGGAATTCATTTTATGCCTTTAAAATCATATCACCAATACATTGGGGAATCTCCAGTATTGGGATAACATGGTCATCATTGATTTGAAGTGTTTCGCCAAAATACTTCTAGTATTACTGCTTCTGACTTATATGACGTTAGTAAACGCACACTACTCTACCAGTAGTTGTCAAATATATCTTGGAATACTCAGTATTGGTCTATAGATGATATCTGTGGATTTAAAGGGTTTTGTCAAAAGTACGTGCTGGATTATTGCTCTGTATCAGTGTATGCTTGTCGATCAAACGAGGTTATATAACATAATACCCAAACTAACATTTTTTACGTTAAATCCCATGTCATCAGTTGTACTATTATTGTTCACTGATGTAAGAATAAAGCTGACCGTTCATAAGACTTGGATTCAAATAGCATGCGGCAAAAATCTTAAAATGGAAAGAATTATTACAGCCAGTGTAATGTATCTTTCCTTGTGAATCATACAAAAACAGCTGAAAGGCGCACGTTTTGAAGTAGCACACTACTTCCATATCTGCACGTCTTGGAGATTGCAACCCCAGTGCTTAAGCTTGGCGCTCATTGATTCAAAGCAAAGGAAAGTAAAATCGTGTAGCTGCTGCTTTTCTTGTCAGGGTAAGCGACCGTTTAGCTAAACAACAAACACGTTTGTTTATCGTTTACTTAAACGGGACTGCTTTGGGCCAGTCATTTTGACGAGCGTCAGTATTATGTGATATTCAATATGGCCCCTCCCAATTGAAGTTAACTGGTCATCTGAAAATAGAATCTGAGGAAATTGGTACTGTTATATTAAAAGAAGGTGGGAAATTTACTGTACGCCGCCCTTTTGAAATCAAGTAAACTTTCTATCATCTATTACCCAGGCTTGCTGAACTATTCTGCTCAGAATTCTAGTCTAGACTTCCATGTCATCAACTTGTATAAGAAATAAAAACTAAATACTACACATATTTAAACAACTGTATAATTTAGGATGTTAGCAAGGTACCAAAACCAAAGAGCATGGCTTGAAGTATTAATTTCATCAGGTTTCGTCCTATCATATTGCTTAATTACTCACGCCTATTTCAAACCGATCCGAACATAATTGTAGCCTTTGGGGAGTAAAAGGGTTCGTAACAAGGCGCATGCCTTCCAAGGTGGCTCCCAGAAATCTTCGTGTAGATTCGCATATTTTATTGAAAATTGATTTAATTGACATGCATTATGTATCTTAAATACAAAAACGTAACAACAGTTTCGTCTGACAGGATTTACACACTCCACCCCTCTCAATAAAATTGGTAATCTTTTTTACTAATACTATATATAGCTTCTACATCAGTGGTAGTAATTACAGGAAATAACGTTTGAACTTGGTGTGATTGACTATAGTTTTTCACATTAGCTAGTCAAAAGGTACCAGGCATGATTCCTAGGGCACTAAATAGTTCAACGACATCCAATTTTCCAATCACTTAAATGGCTTGTTGCTAGAGGATCCCGGAAATGTAAATAGCCCTATTTAATCAGTTGGGGTACGTTTCTTTTAAACTGTAAACCTTGAGTGAACTCTTTCAGTCGCCGACAGCAGGCACATACTTGCTAACATATTTAAACTAATTTTACGTTGCTGGTAGCACTAAGAACAAGTCATTAGGATTGAAGTTCTATTTATCTCGATGGAATATCCGGATATACGAACAAATCTGATCAGATCGCTCTATTGGCTTGTTGATTAAATCACTACTCCTCGTCTCGCGGCTGATGGATGAAGATTTGTTGTTTTATTGCCAAGCAATAATTAAATTTGCCTCGATATATTTGTAATCTTAACCCTTGTTCTGTCTAGGCTGGTCTATATTTCTTCTCTGTCGGTTTGATATTGACTTTTCCACATTAGACAAGCTGATCACTAGTAATCAGCCTACTATCAATCTAAGACATCTTTGAACACCGGTAATCTTCTCATATTCCCGAGGACTAGCATTACTAACCCACCCAAAAATGAACATAATCATGGTGTATTTTTATTTTCAATCAAATAAAGACAGAATTTGTTTGTTTAATATCTCTATAGGAAAAGACACGGTCTGATATCAGATTGGATGAACAACATGTAAATTATTTTGAGGGATAATAAAATTGTAAATGTCAAAATGTAGAAAGGAACGTTGTATTAATGGGACTTTAGGGATTTTCACGAAACCGTAATCAAATATTTAAAACCATACCTTTACAATGGGGTCTTCAAGATTAGATAGTGTCAATTTTGAGGTAAATCTGTCAATGAACCGTCGAGATAGCTAAAGTGTGCACTGACGTCGTTCCAGAAACATCTCGTTTGTCTATTCAACGCCCAGACTAATTAAATTAAATATATACCCTGTCCTTATTCCATGGTAGGTTTTCAAGATCTAACTTCTCTTTCAATATTTCACGATTCGCTTTGAAACCAAGATTTCAGCCATTTTTTCTTGACGAAACATTTCTCCCTAAAAGGAGGCATCTCTTCATTGGCTCGATGCTGGGTCAGGGTCAGGACGGCAAACACAAATTTCTCAAAGATGGTGTTAGACTTCACCGTAGTGTAAATTTACAAAAGATAAAAACTAAGCGAATTGCATGTAAATGAAATGAAATGGAGTTTAACGTCCTACTGTTCTGCTCCTAACCTGGGCTAATGAAGACGGGCATACGCCCTACAGTGTGCTATGAGGGAAATTTTGCCCGGACAGCGGCACTACGGCCTACTCTTATATCGAATTCCAACTGCCAAGGGATCTTTTACGTGCACGCCAATGTGTACACGGGACCTCGGTTTTTCGTCCCATCCGAACGACTAGACAGCTTTCCTTGTCAGCCCCTCCGTCCTGCATCACTGACAAGGGAGAACCACGCCGGAAAATCTGGATGAACTTTCTCGGCCAATGCAGGGATCGAACACCCGACCTCCAGACTAGCGAGCTAGCGTCTTACCCACTTAGCCACGTGATCCCCCGAATTGCATGTATTGTCTAATTTAATTTGACTGTATAAAACCCCTCAGAATTTCGGTTTTCAACAAGAATCATTGAACTATTCTGCTGAGAATTCTAGTCTGGCTTTCATGTGATCACTTTGTATAAGAAATAAAAACTAAATGCCATGCCTTATGTAAATTGCAACTTTTATTTTGATAGTTCTGTTTTATTTAATTAATATATGTGTTTTGAAAGAATGGTTCATTATCCCAAATATTAAATCTTATCGCGTTCACAACCTCCTGAACATAATCAAGTTTAAAAGATACAACCGTCATATTGCAGTCTTTTATCTGGTAAACGCGGCGGATGTGCTTTTTGCGAGACTAAATATCTATATTTCAAACAATCCTTTGCACGGAGGTTGTTTTTGTTTTTTGTTTTTGTAAACTAGAGAACTATATTATGCAAGCGATGGTAAACCACATGATCTAAAGAGTGGGCGTCGGAAAATTAGGTCATCCATATGCGTTTGTATCTTCCATTGCTGACAAATGATGCTAGATGTGCTAAAATTTATACTAATGCGACCTCAGCTTATCGATGTTATGCAGTAACTTAGCGGCTCCTATAATAAAAAAAATCGCGAATTTTCTGAAAACAGTTCCGTTTGATATATGCACGGTCATTGTTCCATTCTATTAATTTCCCATTAATCTATGTCGAGTTTCTGAAACATTAGCTTTTATCAATAAATAATGCACAGATTCGACCATATGTATGCAAATAGTGTTGTGCTTGAGGCTAACGAACGCTCATACCATGCATTTTAGATAACGTGCATTTTATTACTTCAAATCCGGTATAAAATTTCTTTATGATTTCGGAATAATACCGAGAAAGCATTATTTATGAAACCAATCCAAAGTTCGGTTTCGTGGGGAAAACAAATGATAAACGTCAGCCACTACGCTTTAAACTTGTCTCCAGAAAGCTTGCCAAATTGAATTATAACCAATTTTGCGTGTAACAGAGATGAAGTCGGGTTCACAATTATTATGCCGAATACAACATAGCAACCTCGTATGCAATGTATTCTCTGTTCAGTATATCGTTCTGTCTGTGACAAGCCTGGTGATATTTCAGAAATGTCATTCAATAAGTGTTGCTTTTACACTTATTCTGTATATTTTACAAGGTGGCTATTCGAGTAATTTCTATGGCAGTATATTTGAAATTTCAATGTTTTTTTTTAAAGTGAAGTATTCAAGTATAGCATACATTACAACTAAAATATCGAATTAACATTCATTTTACACTGAAGATTGCAATTACTGTTCTCATGTTGTCACGACTCCTCATTATTATTTGGCTTTGTAACCAATATTAGTGTCATTCTATACCATATAAGCTTATATAATTTAGACTTCATGACGATTGATAATGGGATGTTTGATTGATTCTTGGTGGGGGAAATCTGATAATACGCGATAAACAACGACAGCCAAATCGGTAACGGACAACACAATTTGATCAGACATTTCTATAATAAAGCATCATCATGTGTATTGCAATCTAGAAAATACATCGCGATATTAATAGAAGCCTGCCCATAAGTTTAATATGTAAAGTATTCCCAAACGAATAACAGCGCTGATGCATGAACATTAGCCCCCGTTTTTATATCATACTTAATTCAACTCGCCAAAATAGGAGAGATCGGATCAATACATTCGTTCATACCGGACTTGTATGTAGACACTGATTTATAGCACGGTACGTCTCACTATCTAATAATGTTCGATTCTCTCGATTTTTAATGTTCGTGATTAGCGTCGTTTAGGGTGGTGAGCTTCCATACATAAAACTATCAGAATTGAAGTGGGTGTTGAATGAATGGCATCTCAATGGAAGAACGGATAAAGGGTTGCTGCCGAGAACATTATTTCAAACAAGACCTAGACTTAACCTGTTTAATGAAAACTATCTAATCAACTTTTACTCATGAAACTTTTAAACGCGTCTTTTGGTGCATACAAAACGACAATCGAATAGGAAATTTGGATTGTGTTTGAATCGCATTTCTCAAAGCGAAGTGGTTGATTTTATTTATTGATATAATAATTTTTTCTTTTGAAGATATAGGTAAGTAATTAGTCATTTTCATTGTGCGGTAGGATTTTTCATTATATTTTTGTTGGAAGATTTAAGTGAAACGTATATATCCGATAAGATTTATTTCAATATTTGATTAAATTGTCGGTCACTTTGCTCTCCAGACTTCTGACATTTGTAATTTTACTGAACCAAATCTCAGGCTAATTCAAACCCAGAATATTCTGTTGTCTGAATTTATGCTCTTCTATACCATCACTGAAAATATTTTGTGCTTGTGAATTTATTTGATTGGAGAAATTTATCTGGATTTGCAATATAGCCGAATTTAAAGCAATTTGAGTAATTTGACATTTAAAACATTTTTATAAGTATCATTTTGTGTAATGATATACTTGTATTTTCTCTTAGAATCTCAAGTACATAATATATCTTTCTCGGGATTACATTTTAATTTTACCTTGCAACATAATAATGGAATTGAATTCCAAACAGAACAAATTGATATTGATGATAAGCAGACACTGTTATAAATATGCCTAACCTTGTAAATATACACTGAACATGTATTTTAGTTTAGATCCTTAACTGAAGTAGAATTCGAAATATTGTTAAACTTGGATGATAGCTAGATCGATGTACAAAATTGCATAAATATTGGTTCATCGTTTGCAGACTTTAGTTTTGGTAATAATTTTCTAATTATTTACCAATGGAAATAGACAAAAATTAAAATCATATAAACTAATATCGGGAAATTAAAACCTGTTATTCTTAAAAGGAACATGCGGTGAAAAGTCATTTAATTGTTTTCAACAAGAAACATTTTTGCGATAATGTCCCTTTAATAATTTATTTTTACAGTACAGCCACGAAACTGATTAATCATTCTCAATGTAAAGTGGAAGATATATCGATATCGAAAAGCTACTTATCATGTTTTTCCTGCTTGTTCAATCCCCATATGGTCCACGATATAACCATAATAATTGCGTAATAATTAGTAGGTTTATCATATGTTAGGAAATATTATAGCTTGAAGCAATCTGGAACATAAAAACAACCAATTTCATTGCTCTAATATAACATCAATATGTTAAAGTGGCTAGTTTTTTTTATATAAGTTATTATGCGGCTATTTATTCACCGCTGGCAGTAATCTCGGTTTTAGATTTGATTACTTTCGAGAAAACAATAGTTATTATACTTCAAGCTTTGTGGGACCGGAGCTTTTTCTCTTGAAGATTTACTTCAAAAAGGTAAACGATGTCACCTTTTTATAGATAACACATTTACAATCATCTGGTTAGTTTAGTCATATTATTATCCAAGCTCACTATTATGGAATATTTCGAAAACGCCATAGCATTTGATAGACAAAAGTCTCTTTGCTGTAAAATCAAATAACAATCGCTTTGAATCCAGTCGAAGACATATTGTTTGCATGCTCTCTCTGTCATCATTACTCACTGTTCCATTATCGAGATTATTTATTTTTCCATTTCTTTTCCATTTGATTCCTATTTCGTGTAAATTGATATAAGAGATCCTTATAATAGAAATAATATAGAATATAATGCTTTGTTCAGTTAAAAGTACTCTTAAACAAAATCAAATTATTTCCAACAATTATTATTTGGTCTTAAAAATAAAACAATAATATGTTTGATTTGTAAGTTATTTATTTGGGGTCTTATTGGATAAAATTATAATATAAGAAAATGCAAAACGGTGTAAGTATCGTTTTCAGTACTTTTAAATGTGTTGAGATTTTTTTTTCGGGAGTTTAACGCTGTAAGTATCCTAAGCAAATTCGGGTTTACAGTACTTTCAATAGTGTTGAGAATTTTTTATGGATAAGAACTTCTAAGTGATTCTGGTTCAAAGTATTTATCGGGTGGATATTTCCAATAAAAGTATGGCAAATTTGGTATATATGGAAAGTATAGACACCCAAGCTTACTAGATAAATACTGGATTACCCGAAAAAATACTCTGCCAGCTTATTGTGTGCTAGCTTGACTAAGGGAGCCGTTGTTATTTCTTGATCAAATTGTTGGGCGGTTTGGGGAACATTGAGAGGTGTCAACGTACAAAAGATTCCCCAATTAAACAGCGGAAAAGTAGTTGACAGAAAATAATTAAGAATTTACTTAGGACTCAATATGTATGATAAATGGACAGTAAGTAACGAAAAATACATTCTTAAAACTGGACCCTTCCTCGATGAATTGAGCTGACAGCCATGGCGCCTAACAACAGTTTATTTATACCTTGCAGCATCTCCCGACAAATACAGGGTTTTGAGAGGGATTTGAAGCAAATTTTTGATAGATTAATTAGTTTGAATTTTTTTTCTAGTTCAAATATATCATCGAATCAAACAAGTATCTTTAACTGGGTTGAGAATAAAAAATTCTAAGGGGTTAAGAAGTTTGATGATTATAATTTGCCCGATTATCTTATACGTGGACATATACTTCGAGGAGAAATGTGCACAATTAGATTAAATTCTAGTAACCGCCATAGGATTTTACTTGTACTTTTATTCAGTACAAATTCCTGTTTCAGCGTCGTTAATACTGGCCATTATTATGATTGTCAACGATATTACGCGAGGCCTAGTTCGGCTCCGTAAGATGTAATTCAAAGTCTGTGATATTATCAGCGAAATGAATCTACCTAGGAACACACCATAATTGCTTTTATTAAGCGAAATTTGTTTTACGTCGGTTGTTTGTCATACGCCGTCCCTAACACGACAAATTTGTTTGCAAAATGATATCTGGAGCACAACGTCATTGGCATTAGATAAAGGAATACTTGTTACGGTCCGTTGTATCGAATACAAATATGTGCATACCGTGTTTTGAATGTAGTAATAACGAGGCTCAATAACCTATTTTACATTTTGTATATATTTTAGGATTGCAGGTGGAAAAGAACAAGAATGTGGAATCGCGTCATCTTAGCCTATGTGTTTTTATTGCTTCTTCCGTTTTCATCATTACAACTGTACGACAGAGGTAAGGTAGGTTAACCATTATATATTTAACAAAATGAAAATATGTCTTATTCATTTTTATATGTCCTAGCAAAATCCGAATCACTCTCCTTTATTGCATGTCTGAATCAAAAACATTATCTTGTCTTAAAATCCATACAATATAAATTAATTCTACTCGCACTATTTCTTATGATTTACCCCACTGCTGTACTAAACATTGTTGAACGTCCGGTCTAGTAGCGAATCCCGTTTTAATTTGTTAAGCGGAAATTGAATGGTTGTTCAAGGCGTCCTTAACTAGCCAGTTCATATAAAATATATTAATAATTTTCATAGTCAACAGGGTCAACACATGGCTTGGATTGAACAACTCGTTCGGTATCAATTACGAATAGTCACCACCTTACCTGTCAAATTGAGTTAAGCAACGCCATAAATATGTATAAAAATCTTTTATTCACAAAGTACCTCGGGGGTTGTGGTGACCTATATTCGAAGAGTGTCGCGTTTCGAGTCCTAGTTGGCCGGTCACCTCTGGCGTGGGATGGTAGTTTCCATCCATGGTGTGAGCGTATGTGGGCGACATCATCACCTCGTGGGTGTACTCCTTGTACTCGGGTTTCTTCCTACAGGAAATTTTAATAAGACAACTTGTTTGCGATATCATCCACGGTGGAAACGGGCGGTAAACACTAATAGAAGAACAGTGTCGTCAGTGTGATCAGTGGCGTGTTCAGACAAATACGTGTACTGCGGCCAACACAACGCTGTAAGTGCCTGCTTTACTGGCAATACCATGATCATAGGCGTTATCGTTGTTCGAATATTTTGACTCCCGCCTTTTGAAGAAAGCAGGGGGCTATTAAAATGGTCCTGCTTGTCTGTCGGTCACACCTTTTGGGATACAATAACTCTTCTTCTAATTACATCAACACCTTGACTAAGTTCGATAATGAGCATTTTCTGCTCAATATAAGCAGGGCGATAAGCAATTTGATTGGTCGAGACTTTAAGTTAGAATGTTCAGACTTCGTGTAGGCGTTCATTAGGTGAATGCCGTGTTGGATTTGAAATGAAATGAAATGGGGTTTAACGTCCTACTGTTCTGCTCCGAACTGGGCTTATGAAGACGGACATACGCCATACAGTGTGCTATGAGGGAAATTTTGCCCGGACAGGGGCACTACGGCCTACTCTTATATCGAATTCCAACTGTCAAGGGATCTTTTACGTGCAAGCCAATGTGTACACGGGCCTCGGTTTTTCGTCCCATCCGAACGACAAGACAACTGTCCTTGCCAGGCCCTCCGTCCTGCATCACTGACAAGGGGGGACCACGGCGGAAAATCTGGATGAACTTTCTCGGCCAATGCAGGGATCGAACACCCGACCTCCAGGCTAGCGAGCCAGCGTCTTACCCACGTGATCCCCCGTGATGGACTTGAAAGATTAGCATTTTCTGCCTAGGGTAAGCAGAGATAAGCAATGTGACTGTTTGATGCTTTGGGACATGATAACTTTGGTTCTAATTAAGTGAGAGTGGTGAAATTTGATGTATAGTTTCATTACGTCAATACCATGACTTAGTTCGATAATGAGCGGCTCAGGGTAAGCAGAGCGATAAGCAATTTGATTGGTAGAGACTTTGGATCTCGACAACTTTGATTCTAATTTATTGATAGTGGTAAAACGTCGTGTATGGTTTCGTCAAATCAATAACTTAACAACGTGCGATGCTGGCCATTTTCTGATTAGGCAAAGTAGAGTCTTCAATTTGATTGTTCGAGACTTTGGAACACAATAACCCCCCTTCTAATTGAGCTAAAATGTTCAAATTTAGTATAGATGTATATTAGGTGAATGCCTTGACAGAGTTGGATCACACGCATTTCCGCTAAGGTTAAACAGAGATAAACAATTTGATTGGTTAAGATTTTGGAACACGATAACTTTGGTTCTGGTTGGGTGAGAGCGACGAAACTTTGAGTATAGATTCATTATGCTAAGGCTAAGTAGCAATAAGCAATTTGATTGGTCCAGACTTTGGAACAGACAACTCTACTTTTAAACTTGATGTAGATTTACATTAGGTGAATGTCGTGACTCGGTTCAATTTCATTGGCCGATGCTTTCGGACAAGATAACTTTGATTCTAACTGACGGAGAGTGACGAAACTACCAGGTACTTTAAAACCTTGACCGAGTTTGATCGTGAACAATTTATGCTTAGACTAAGTAAAGATAATCAGTTTCATTGCTCAACACATTTGGAAAAGATAAATATGTAATTAATTCATATGTGTCATCTATTCATTTTGGGATTTCGGCGGGGGACATCAGCCTCACCATTGGCTTTTTTTCCCTAAGAACATGGGTTAGGGTAAATTGCGTATCTTCTACAAAGTTACTATCCTTTTTCAAAAGCACCGATGTCGTTTCTCTGTGGTCAAAGTATAGTTTATCATAATAATTACAAAAATAGTAATTAGTATGGCAGTATACCTAAACAATAGACCGTAGCCTGCAGCCAGACATTTTTTTTATATTGTTCATACCTATATGACTCTACGTGGTTTTGCGCAAATGTAACAGTGTGTAAAAAAAATAGACATAAATTTAGCACATAATATATCGGAACAAAAATAACAGACCGATATTGCCTTATTATCGGTATATTTGTTTAAGGTATGGATCACATAATATTATCGATATATTTGTTTAATACTATAAATTACGTGCTCTGTGGAGTGCGATAACGCCATATGTAAGCGTGATAATCGTGCATCTCATTTCAGCAGTTCACAAACTGCCGTAGTTCTGTAGTTATCAAGAAACTTTCAGTCTTTATATTACGAATAATAGTGCGCATGGTAACCATGTAACAATCCTTTATAAAGATTTCGGTTTCCGTGAATGATGATCACCTTGGGTGGATATGCCATTATTTTTGGGGGGGATCTGAATAAGTTATGATTTACTGTACATAGGGGTTGTTAAAATTAGATCTTATATCAGATCTTATATCTTAAGAAAAGTTTGAAACATTTCTGCTAATACGTTTCAAAAATCATTACGGGCCGTACATATAATATGGCCTACAGCGATTTTCAATAAATTCAGCGAAAACTTGTGTAACTATTTTGATCTAAGTAGGTTAGAGAGTGTAGCCCTTTAAATTGTCGATGGAAAATACTCACTCACTCATACGATTTTACATAATAATTGGAATGGAATGGGCAGCAGGAATGGGTTCTTTTACGTGTGAAAAATCCCGAAGGCTTTTCTCGTTTTAGATACGATGATAAATTTGTTTTAGAACCATAATGTTTTTAGATAAATGGAATAATAATATTGTTCATATAGTCTCGGAAATAGGCGGGGTTCATTGAGGCTAGTGGCTTGGTGTCGATCCTAAGCTTATGTGCGACAATGCGTGGGATTCCCCCCACCTACACCCCTAACCCCGTCGATTTTAACTGGGTCTTCCGGCTTCCCCCCACTGCTCTAGACCCCTACGCGCAAGTAATTATGATTTAATATTATCTTTGGTAATTAGCAGATGTTTACACCATAAAGCCTACGTAGATTATAGCCACCAAACGTAAAAAAATAGTACGCAAGCCAAACATTGATTGGTTATATGTTGTGTTCATAATCTAAATCCTTGTCCATATTTTATACTTTGTATGTTTGCTGCGCATGCTCTGTATGCCCTCTACGGTTCAATATAAGACATAATTGCTCCCGTCCTTCAACTTAAAACCGACCGCCATGCTAGCACACGCTAGGAAAAATGGGTCAGACGTTTTGACAATTTCCTCATCGCAAAGGAAGTTAAGACTGACGCCCGCAAGAAAACGGTGCTACTACACCTAGCAGGGGAAGAAGTATTTGATCTGAGCGAATCTGTTGGAGTTGCGGACGACGACGATTTCGCTAGAACAAAAGAGAAGTTGCAGAACTATTTTGCTCCTAAACGTAACACCGAGTACAAGATTTTCGTCTTCAGACAGGCAACTCAGCATTAAGGGGAATCGCTTGACAAATTTAATGCTCGCCTTACATAACTCAGCAAATATTGTAATTTTACTGATACAACGAGGGAAATGAAGTCACAAATTATACAGAAATGCCTCAATGAAAAGGTCAGAGACAAAGGATTGACGAACGCCAACATTACACTTGCCGATTTATTGACATATGGCAGAACACTAGAAGCTACGAAATTACAAATATTGGCTTCAGTGAATGCGATAAATATCAATAATAATCCACGCACAGGTACTGGTAATCGTCGTTCCTTCGTACAGCACAAGCCTGACAGTTTCCGTTTTCCTCAAAAAGGGGCACATAATACAAGGTCCCGAAATGACGGTAACAATACCGCCCCGACCACTAACTGCTCAGTCTGTCGGGGACCCCGCTCACCATCGTCGACACTGTAGGGCATGGGGAAAAACATGCCACAACTGTAAAAAACGCAATCATTTCTCATGTGTTTGCAGAAGTACAGACACTACAGCCAAGTCAACGCACTACGTGGAGACATAAATTTCAAAGACTAGTGAATCTGTTAATATGCAACCAGCTTACGATGAGTATGAACATTTGAGTTTGTATCGAACGGAAGCAACCAATATTAATGTGAAACCTTACTGTTGTATTTTGACACTGAACAATATGCCCACCATGGTGGAGATAGATACAGGTGCTAGTGTATCTATAATCATCACACAAGTAGAGCTCTTGCGAGGAGATGGACAGCTGTTACCAGTAGAAACTGATAATCTACCTGTTCTACGTACTTCCTCTGGTGAAGCCATGCAGCCTGAAGGTCGTGCCATGTTAAATGTTGTACACCAAGATAAGTCAATAAAATTACCATGCCTCATTGTGAAAGGGAATGGACCAAATCTACTTGTACGCGATTGGTTTCCTGAACTGTTTGAACCTGGTCTCGGCAAACTGAAAAATGTGAAAGCAAAGTTGCACGTTGATGAGGATGTGAAGCCTCGATATTTCAA